CTGCAGCACCGTCAGCCGACCGACCACACCATCAGATAGCGCCCGGGGCGTCCGCAGAACGGTAGATTGGCGCCGCCTCTGGGCAGCGTCAGCCGACCAGGCCGGATTGGATTGGATTCGGGCAGGTGCAGGCTGCGCTGACCGACCGACTGGTATGCAGAGCGCACTATAGGCCGACCAAACGGACACAGCACCGCAATGGTGACCGGCAGTGGCGTAGACAGGGGGGCCATGGGGGCCATGGCCCCCCCTTTCCGCCCAGCCGCCCAAATGGCGCCCCAATTAGCGCCGACTAGGCTGATGCCGTTTTACAGAGAGAACATGAATTAAAAAGTGATGTGCAGGCAGGGATCGAACTCAATATCTCTTTGGGGTGCCTGGACACCTAAATAATCTCCAGGGCACCCCCAAATACGACCTGAGCCCCCAAATGTTCAAGGGCGCCCCTCCGGAAACAAGAATATTCCGAACCCCCAGGGTCGATGGCGCCCCTGAAGAGCCGCTGGCACCCACCTAAACGGAACAGTCGCCCCATTAAAGCTTGATGGCGCCCCTCTAGAGCACCCGGCGCCCTTCTGAAGTTCACAGCTGCCCCAATCGACCCATCCAAGATCGATCCCTGAAACCACTGGCGCCCCTCTAAAGCACCCGCATTCTTCTCAAGATCAAAGTCGCCCTATCCGAGATCAATAGCGCCCTCAAGAGCCACTAGCGCCCCACCCCCTTGAGACTGAAGTCGTCCCGCTTGAGACTAAAGTCGCCCCATTCAAGCCCAATGACGCCCCTTCAGAGCGTCCAGCGCGCTTCTGAAGATCACGCCCATCTAAACGAAGGTTACAGCTGCCCCATCTTAAGATCGATGACAGCCCTCTGAAACCAATGGCGCCCTTCTAGACTACCCGGCACCCCTCTGAAAATCACATTCACCCCATCCGAGACAACGCCCCTGGAGACTACAGTCGGCCCACCCAAGCTCAGGCCCCTCCAGAGCCTCCCTGCGGCGCCCTGCTGAAGGCAACAGTGGCCCCATCCATGCCCAATGGCGCCCCTCAACGCCGTTCTAAAGATCACAGTCGCCCCATCAATCCGAGGTCGCTGGCGCCCCTCAAGAGCCACTGGCTCCCACCTGAACCGGGGCTTCAGTTGGCCCATCCTTGATCAATGGCGCCCCTCTGAAACCACTGATGCTCCTCTGAAAATCCCAGTCGGACCATCCGAGATCAATGGCGCCCCTCCAGAGCGTTCGACGCCCTACTGAAGGCAGCAGTGACCCCATCCAAGCATTGCACCCCTCTAGAGCACCCGGTGCCCTTCTGAAGATCACATTCGCCCTATCCGAGGTCGTTCAGACGCCCTCCAGTAGTCACTGACGCGAAACTGAATGGATACTTCGGTCGCCCCGCCCCATTCAAGATTGATAGCGCCCCCCCCCCCGAAACCACTGACGCTAGGCAATTATTTGACAATGGGGCTTTCTCATCGACACTAAGGGCCCTTTTCAAGATGCAGCAGCTAGGCGGCGCCGAGCTGGGCTTGGATGTGCCAAGCGTTCCTTATTAGGCAGCCTTGTAAGTGCCAACCTCGTTGCGATACCGCCCCTCAACGCGACGCTGCCCCTTCACCGTACAATGCCACCCCTCAATGCAAGTGGCGCCCCTCAGCGCTCTGCCGCCCATTATTGCGATGCCGACAGCGCCTAGCAGTGCGGTGCCGCCCCCAGCGTAAGCGTTTTTTTATTGAACCTGCTGGGGGTGTTTGAACACCCACTTCTAACTCAACTTGTGGGCCACGTCGAGACACGCAGTAGGCGGCGTTCGAAAGAGCGTCAAAAACTATTACAAAACTATTAAGATCATTTTAAGGTTAGGTCGAACCTGTCGAAGGTCAGGTCAACAGCGACAACCGAAAATCAAATTTCGCCGATGTTGACATTTTTCGACAAAGCGGCGCATAAGTCAGGATTCAGAAAGAGATTGAGCTACAGCGCCGCAGCAAAGCGCATATTCGATAGCTCTTTTTATGCTCTCTCTTATTATCTCAGATTTGACCTAAGGTAAACGTTTTAGCCTCAAAATATACGTTTTCGCGGAGGACGTTTATCTGTAATACCTTTTGGCTCAGACCTGCACGAGATTAGTTCAACCAGCATCGTGTTCCATTTTTCGAGACAGACGAGTCAAATGAACTAGAATTTGACATTAAAAGGGCCTTTGAGAATTTGACCTAAGGAAAAGGTCATAACCTAACCGGTAAAGGTCATATTGCATATTAGTCGATCCATATTTTCGAGAAGGAAAATAATTATATAGGATGTTTCATTGCTCTACCATACCTCTATCAAAAGTTATTGTCCAAAATCTACTGGAGACCTTTCATGACCTGAGATGACCTTAGTAACATAAAAATGGTCACATCACGAGTGACATTTACAGATTAAATGTGTCATATTAACCTGCATCCCGATGGTTGAGGTTGTTTTCGTTCAGAAGAAGAGCATTTTAATTGTCTCCCATTAATCTGCGCCGTGCTGGAAGGGGGGGGGGGTTACGCCCCCCTTAGGTTTTTTCTCGCGAATATCTCGAAAACGGCGTCGCGCAGCGCCTGCGCTGTCTTTGGTACTACACCTGTTCATACATCTTTTCTACACAGCTTGTTAAATTTCAGATGAGGGTCGTTCAAGGTCAGGTCACTAGGGCACGTCAAGTGACCTTGCCTCAAAAAAAGTTAAAAGACCCGCTATAGCTACACCGACTGAACGATCACTTTTGAAACTTTCAGATAAGACTAACAATATGCATAACATGTTCATCTCGGACTTTTTACTTCTGTGACCTAAGGTCAGGTCAATTTTGGGACCTCAAGTCAGTGGGAGAAAAGTGAAATGCGCCTCTTTTGGACGAATGTCGTTTAAAACCCCCTTAAACATCGGTTCATAGGTAAACATAACACACTGAATCGTAACAATGCACCTGTGTCCTTTTATGTGCCCTTGAGGTCATCTCAGTCATAAACGGTCACCTATTTTATCACCATAAACGGTTTTTTTGGCTTCAACTTTTGATAGAGACGTGCTAGAGCGGTGAAAACACGTCAGATGTTGTCAGCTCGACGATACGGATCGACTGATCTGCAGAATGACCCTTTCCGGTCAGGTCATGACCTTGACCTGCGGTCAAATTTTTTAAAATAACCTTTCAAGGTCAACGTATAGTTCATTCGAAGCGTCTCGACGAGAGGAACACGAGGCAGGCAAAATAAATATCGTCACTGTCTTGAACCAAATGTTATTGCAGACGAACGCTTTTCATAAAAACTGTTATTTTTGGAATTTTTGCCCTCTGGAGGCTAAACCATTGACCTGAGATCAAATCCGAGAGCAATATTCAGAAAAGCCTGTAAAAGGGCCATCCAATGCGCTTTTCCGCGGCGCTGTAGCTCTATTGGTTCCCGAGTTAGCCGTTGGCAGTTTCCAAAATTGTTGAAATGGACTAAATTTTACCTTTGATGACCTCTGGTGACCTGACCTTTGACCCGACCTAAAAATTGATACGAAGTCTTTCCGTCATTATTTTTGACGCTCTTTCGATTTCCCCTTACCGCGTGTCGCTACGTGGCCCAGGAGCCGAGTTAGAGGGGGGACGTGAAAACACCCCCCCCCCCCCCAGCACGACACGGAAAGCACAGGCCACCAGCACGGCGCGGGTTAACTTATAGGTAATCGGTAACTTATAGGTACTTATAGAGAGGTCGCAAAATTGACCTGGCCCTCAATGAAGATATTTGGTCTGGGGATTACGCAAGGCGAATGTTCGGTGAGATCAGCAGGTTTCTATGGCACTTATTCAAAGTCGACCATGCACACTCACATCATCAAAAGTCGTCTTCTATACTACACCGGCCGAAGACATTCTTAACCTTCGTGCCACTATATGGGACAGTCTCACACCTCACCCATCTGGCACTCATGCAGTCATGAGTGTCTGAGATTCTAAGCACGGCCACCCGGTCGACCAGAGGCTACAGTCCACAGGTCACTTTGGTTCAGTGAGTGAACCTGTATGTTTTTTTTTTTTGCAAAGAATAAAGATTGTGCCTAGCGATCAACGCATATTTTACCGTTTCGAATTCGAATGGGTGTGTATTTTGAGAATAACATGTCCGTAGCCTGAACTCATTTCCTATATCGTGCTAAATAAATATGCATAAAGATATAGGCTTTTGATAAAAAAAAACACTGGGCTTCAAATTGCATTAATTGGATTTTATGAAAAATCAGCGAAACCTGGTTCTGATACTCGTGCCGGTTCCGTAGTAGCACCTAGTAAATCATGCATGAATATATGACGTTACATTTTAGACTGACCCCCTGTCACTAGCTCACAATGGCGCCCCTTTCAAGGGAAAAAGTCGCCCCCTCGAGCACCATGGCCCCCCCTTTCGCTGATTTCTGGCTACGCCACTGGTGACCGGGGAAACGCATCAGCACAAACTTTGTACCATAAGATACCTATAACTCTCTGTGGTAACGCGGTAGTGTCACCGTCCATAGATTCGATGCCAAGTTTGTGGCCGAACTGGGAAACTGAGTCATCAGTTACTACAAAAATCGTTCCCAAAAAGAAAGTCTGCACGCCACGAAGCATGTCCAAATACGTTCCAGCTGATTGAAATGAAATGAGCGACTCAGGTGTTTTGATTATTTACGACGTTACATCATTCATGCTATTAATATGAAAATCCCCCGCTGTTTCCGCCGTTTTGTGGTCATGTGGTGGCGCCTTTTTTCATTTGGCATCTGACAGACTCAGGACGAATGGGTCCCCGCGGGCTGGGAACCAGTGACTAACTAGTTTCCACTGCGATTATTGGCTGAGAAATCGGACCCGAATCGGAGGGAAACTCGAACATTTGGCGATAATACTGGGGTGAATGCACCTGTTCATTTGTGTCAGTACGTTGTGTGTGTGTGTGTTTGTGTCGCTCGGTGAGTGGGCACCCACCTGGTCCTTGCGCTCGATCTGCTCCTGCAGCCGGCGTAGCTCGCGGGTCTCGCGGACGCTCTCCCGACCGGACTCTTCCATCAGCTGGCGCAGCTGGCGCTGCTGCTGCTGCCGCAGCCGGCGCAGCTCGGCAGAGCGCTGCTTCTCGCGGATCCGAGACAGCTGCGCCTGTGGGCGTCACACGGGTCAGGTCAGCGGTCAGCGGTGACGTTACGGGGAACAGATTGGTGCATACGATCATTGTGTTGATGTTGGCATTTTGTTGGCATCATTGTGCTAGCATTTCAGCCCACCCTTATCCTATCCCGAATTCGCCATTTACCGATGGAAACAATTAGAAACAACTCCGATTGTTTCCAATAACAAGGATTTCTAACCCATTGATGCACAGTAAATGGACTACAATGCACCCAGACAGGAGCGCGGGAGGTAACCAGCCAACAAAGCGAGTACAAAACAATGCGCATTTTAAGTCGAACCACAGGAATTCGTGACGGCCGGCGACTCGGCCAGACGGTATGCCGATCATGGACAATGGCTTTATCACGGTCGAGGCCGTCCCGGTCATGCAAGGTTGCAGCTGGTACCGGGATGGGGCCGTGCACGGGCTAATTGTTTTGCGGGGGTGCTGATCGCTCGACCTCGGAGCACGGACAGTAGCCACTGACGGGACAATGCCTCCGGCCAGCCACCGCGGAGGTGGAGCGGAGCACAAACACCGGGAGACAGCCGCCCCGCCCCACCCCGTGGGGAGGGGCTGTCTCGGGGCCCACACGGGAAAGCCGGCGGCGTGGTTACCGGTTACTGGTCCGGTCCACAGCCCGCCGCACCCGGGCCGCACGACGGGAAACGGAATGTGGCCCTGTTCGCGACTGACCGACCAGAGTGAGCGAGCGAGCGACCAAACGAACGAACGACCGACCGGCAGACCGACTGACCGACCGACAGACAGATTGACCGACCGGCGACAGCCGGGCAATGTCAGCTATGTTGACAGAGATGATGGTGGTGGCGCGGTGGTGGCGGTGGTAGCTGAACTGTGTCGTGTGTCCGGGAAACGTAATCAGTGCCGTGACGGAGCCATGCAACAACTCTGTGAGAACTCTGTGAGAGAGAGTTTGTGTCGCAGCTCCCCGGGGAGAGCTATGGACGGGTGTGGTGGGTAACGGTGAATGATCGTGACCGGTCCATGGGCAGAGCTATGAGGACGGTCGCTCCCACGGAGGACGGCATGTCATCCCTCGCTGATATCTCGTCGCCCGGTTCTGAGAAAGCACCGAGAATATCGCGACCAGCATCAGACACGTCTCCTGATCGACATCTCTCAGTGGAGCCCTGGGTACCATCTCTCACGCTCCGTGACGCGTGAGCGGTCATCCCAGAAATACCGCAACTGCTCCAATCAAAACACGATCAGAGTCGCCCGGTCCAGCTCCCACCGGCGCCACCGATCCCTCACCGTCTCGTTGCCGGGCCCGGACGGCGGCACGGACGGACTACCCTCGGTCGTGGGACTGCCGGCCGCGTCACACCCGCTCTGTCCGGGCCGGCGGCTGTCAGTCACGGCTGTGACCAGGTGCTGGCCGCTGCACAGCCGGCTGCCGCTCACACATACACACAAACAGAGGAAAACCGGCGCCCGCCCGGCGCGGCGGGCACGGCGCCCACAGCCGTGCATACGCGCGGCCCCGAGCGGCCAGTTTCCCGGCTCCACCGACCTTGCTGTGTGGCGGCCCGTGAGACCAGCCGCGCCCACAGAGAAATGCGCAGTTTTCGACACAGACGTCCACGCCCCGACGCAATGTCGACGACGATGACGACGGCCGTGGAGAAGCTATTGGCCAAGGCTGAGAGAAGGTGGTCAGAGCGGGCCGGGCACCGTTGTGATTGCTTCCATGATACTATGCCCGCTTTCATTGACCGCATATTCGCGGGTCAAAAGCCGTATTCAGTGCATGCAGTCATGTGCGACTCAAAATTAATGCTTGAATATCAACAAATTTCCTACCAAAGTACAGGACGATGGGTTGTATAGACCAGCTGATGGTCAATGCAGCCCTGTTGTAATGAAGTCCGACGAGTTTGGAATGGATGGTAGCCGACTGGACGTCAACGCGCATCACGCAACCAACATCAGTAACACGCTTCTGTCCTTTGGTGGAGCGAGCTGCTCAGGATCACGGCTAATTATAGGCAGCACACAGCCTCAGCAAAGGTGAAATGACATTTACGACGTTCAACATTGTAGCGCGATCGGATCAGCACTCAGCACAGCTGAGTGCGGGCTGGGCACATTCTGCGGTCGCGCCGGTCGGCCAGCCATTTTTGTCGTATGTGGATCCGTCCAGTTACTGAAGCGGCCGCCGGCCACGCTTCGACAACGGCCGTACGGTATGATAAGGACCAACTTCCCACTAGCCGGTGCATGCAAACTTTGAGGTCTTGAACATTTTACAGCCGTAAAAAGCAAAGCTATATGTACCTACTTTGACCTCGAAAGCGACCAATAATCTTTCTATTTAATCAGCATTTAATTCCTGTAAACGGTCACGTCGTAAGCTACCTCTGACATATGCCGCCTATGACACGTGAATAGATGACAAATACTCTGTAACGTGTTCATTTCACCCTTGACCTAACGGCCCTATGACACAAAAGATGCACCGAGTGTTCCATTACAGATAAAATGAAAACATAATTATCCATAGACATAATCGTCAGAGACCTACCATAATGCAGGCATTTATGTGCATTGGTAGTGGTGGATGGGAAAGTTAGGAAAAAAAATAACACGATGTTTTAATATTATGTACTAGATCAATAGGACTAATGTTAGGAGCTTCCCTACGTCTAAACGAAAAAAGGGTCAGATAAAAATCAAGCTTAAACATCAGCACTGGTGAGTGGCCGACAGCCGTAACCAAGCCTACTCAGTATAGCCCAGTCTGCCGCATTCCGTCCAGGAAAAGGTGTGAAGCCACGTTATCATCGGTGTCCTGTTGGCATAATCTCTGTTTCCTTCCATTTTCGGATTATCCTGTGACCGTTACATTGCGGTCCGATGCTCGGCACCACGGGCACACTTATAGGTAAGCTTGAGGCGGCGTCTGTTCCTTGAGCTTAGTTGGTAAACAGACGGGCAGCAAGGGATCGCGGCCATTTTTCTCGGCGAGGCGTCACGAAAACACTGGTACAGCTAGCAGCAATATAACGGCAATATAAACACATGAGCGCCTCTCGGGCACATAACAGTCTAACCACGTAACGTCTACCCAATTACGTCGCCAACAGCTGCTGCCGTTGCTGGCCCAGTTTTCGGGTGGTTTGGCGGCCGGCACACCACTCCTGACCGAGATCCTTTGACGACACCCTCATACCGCAGGAGAGGCGTAATACAGCGGTCCTCGGCACTCTGTCCCGCCGCTCCTCCCGTCAGAAATTCTGGCATACTCCGCATACCCGTCTGGGAACGTGGAGACCACGACCGAGATATCATCTTCATTCGACCATACAAAACAAGCGGGGAAATCGAGGACAGCTCGTAATGCGGAGATCATGACAAATAGAACACGGCAAAGCGCGTCCGCCCGCCCGCGGGGCCGGCTACCGGTCCGGCTCAGAAGTGGGCTGCAGATTATGTCCAGCTGTCTGGACAGACGGCGGGCAAATCAGAGCTTCCTGTTTCGCCTAATCGCGTGAAGAGTAGCCGTTCCATCAGGTCATTGATATTTTATTGCTGTTGCCGTTAATTTCGCTCATTTAGTTATACGAACACGATACCTTCCTGAATATACCTAATCATGATGTTTTGAAGTTTTCATTGCAATGCTATTTTCTTGGAATTCCGAGCTAAATGTTTCGTGTCCATTAACATCTGTGACAATTTAACATCAGGTTGAGCCCGGTCCATATGCCATAACTAACCGCTCTGAGGAGCCGCCTACCGGGATCAGGTTTGACGAGTGGATTGGCCGCGTTCTTGGAGACGTGTGACAACGGTATGACTCATCCGAACCGAGCTATTATTCTCGGAGACGTCTAACTTTGAGGTGTTTGTGCTGAGCGCTGAATGAAGCCACATGAGTGCTGTTCCAGTCCCGGTACTGTCAGTAGGCGCCCCGCGTTATCGCCCAACACACAGCTGCACTGGGCCGTGCACTGTGCAGTGATGGGGCGGACCACTGACAGCCAGTGATGACATCACACACATTTGCAGTCAGCCTGCACTGCGGAAACCAATAAAGTACCAACGCACTGACAGTGCAGCTAGCCATCGGAAACATTCCAGCCAGCCCTTCCCTCCCTCCACTCCCTACACTCCCAGAGCCGGTACTATCGTCATCGCTTCACCCCACTGTGCGCCCGCGTTCGTGTTTCTCTGCGTGTCTGCCGGCGGCTGGCCGTGAGTTCGTGACACGGCTCTGTGACTCGGGACTGGGTCAGCCGGTGTCACACAGCCTAGCGTCACACCAGCCGTGACGCTCCCGCCGGGTGCCCGTAAAGTGAGACTCACGATAATCTACCGAGACTGAGTCTGTTCGTGAGTCGTGACCAAGGCGCCCGGCGCTGCACCTGAAGACGGGTTTTGAATATTACGGTGAGGAAGCGGCGTCTTGACTTTGTGGGAAGAACGTGTCTCAGGGTAAAGAGCCGTGTATTTACAGGCTCCGTCACACAGCTAGTGTGTCGGTTCCAGTGCGTGTGTTAGTGTCACCCACCGGAGGGGAGGGATTGAATGAGAGTGTGTGGGGGACTCGATCACGCACCTCAGCCTTGAGCTCCTCGCGTTCGGTCTGCAGCCGTTTGATGCGCTCTCGGAGCCGGCTGAGCTGCTGCTGCTGCTGAGGCAGCTCTCCCGGCCGCCGCTGTCCCAGCAGCTCGGCGCTGGCCGCCCGCTGCCGGCCCAGCTGCAGCTGGCTGCGCAGCTCCCGCAGCTCCTCGTTTTTGGCGGCGATGGCGTGCCGCAGTTCCTGGCGGGCCTCGCGCGCCAGGTCGCGTCGCAGCCGCGCCAGCTGGTCTTCGCTCTGAGCAGCTGCCCCGGCCGCGCCCACCGCCTCCTCCTGATAGCTCGACTCGAGCGACGAGCAGATGCCCGACTCGCTGCGCAGCGAGTCCAGGCCGGGCGTGGCCGGCGCCGGCGCCGAGGAGCGCGCCAGCTCGCGCAGCACGGCCTCCTCATCGTCCTCACCGGCACCGGCCGCCGCCGACCGCTCCGGCGCCATCTCCTCAGCGTCCGAGAAATGTCCCCCCACGGCGCCCTCACACTGTTCACAGTCGTCCTCCTCACAGTCCCCACACTCCTCTTCTTCCTCGTCTTCCTCTTCCTCCTCTTCATCAGAGGCGTGCTGATCACGCTCCTCGTTCTCGGCCTCCTGATCAGACGCTCCCGAGTGTTGGGTGCCGCTCCCGCGCGAGCCATGCCCCTCCATTTCGGCCTCAGTCTCTGACTCACTGCCTTCCGTGTCCGTTCCAGACTCCGTCTCCGTCTCCGTCTCGTCTATGAATGACTCCTGCTCCTGTCGGGCCGGTGCCGGCAGCTCCAGCTCGGAACGGCCGGCGGCTGAGACCGGCGGCGGCCGCTCGCGCTCGGCCTGCGGCTCCATCTGACCGGCGCTGGCGCAGCCCGCCCACCACACGGCTGGCGCAGCTCGGCCAGCAGCTGTCGGCTCACTCGGTCAGCGGTGCGGCGCCGCCGCCGCTGCGCCAGCCTCGCCGCACTCAGGTGACGCCTGCTGCGCCGTTACCACTGCCATGACCGCTGACGTCAGAGGCAGGACCGGGTACCGACACGCGCCGCGCCCCGGTCCCGGACGCCGCGCACCGCGTCAATCAGAGCGAGTACTGGGCGCCGAGGGCAATCAGCGGGCGCAGAAGGTGCCGCCGACCAGTCACCGACGCTCACGCGGACGAAGCACTGATCTCACAGATTGGGCCAGAGACAGCACACCACCGGTCCTGGGCAATCTCGCACAGCGATCACAGTCACGATTCGGCCGTCACGAATGTTTCGCGTGGATCGCGACTAGTTCGGTGATGTAGGCACGATGTTGACGTCCGAACGCCGACCAGGACAACCTGTAGTCACAGGTGTCGAACGCACAGCCGGCGACGCGGCCCGAACGACGCCGGTACTTTCACTGTGGTATCGGCCGGCCGGGGTTCCGCGTGAATACTAATGTCGACGGCAGGGGCGCGGGAACTACTTTCCGACTGGGGGGGCACACCATGATAGAGATCAACCTAGGGTACCCCCAAATCTAGTTTTCTCACCGGTTTTAGGCCACTTATTTTTCACCCCTCGGCTTTTTCAACAAAAAAAGAAAACATTTGCAAAAAAAAGTGTGGTATTCCGTCTCAAAGCTGTGGGGGCACCGCCCCCACGGCCCCAGAGTTGGGGGGGCAAGCTGCCCCCACTGCCCCCCCGGCTCCCGCGCCTATGGTCGACGGTGATGGTTCGGTAAGTATCGCCCCAGCCGACTCCGGTCCGCAGCCAGTCGTCAGGAGGGATATGACGGCTGAGGCTCGAACTCCGCGGCCACAGGCACGCGGCGCAGACGGACCGGGCAGCTCCGGGTGCTGTCTGCTGCCGGCCGGCCGGTCGGCCCAGAAGGTCACCGGAGTGCGTGCGGCGCGTCTAGAGACTGCCGTCCGTCAGTGACGCAGTTAGTGGCGCACAGGGCCGCGCACAGAGACCGTCACCAGGGCGAGTCACAGTCACCAATCACCAGCTGTACTGACAGCTCGCGTCACCAGTCAACGGATCATCTATCACTGGTCACCCGATCACCGTCTGCAACCGTTCAACAATCCGATCACTCGACCAGCCACGTCCGCCTGTCAACCAATCACTAACCCAGTTACCGTTCACCGCGCTCCTTAGTCCATCGATGCCTGTCACTGACACTGACATTGAATCACCGCTGACACGGTGACACCCTGACACAGACACGGCTCACGTCCTCACCGCGCCGCGCCGCGCCTTACCGCACCCGACCCGACCGCCGACCGGCCCACTACTGGCTCCGGCCGGCTCCGAGTCCGGCCCGGCCGCCGCTGCTGGAGGCTCGCCGAGCCGCGGCGCTCACCTGACGCCCACCGTCACGTGACAGCCACCGCTAGTTCAGCCCACGGCCACGTGACCAGTCGGCCGGCAGCAGCACCCAGCATGCAGAGAAGTCCAGACGGCACGGCTGAAAAACGGCGCCGCTGCAGCTGCGGCGCCACCGATGAAAGAGAAACGGGATAGCGCCAGAGGATGGGTCAACTACTGGTCGAACGCCCTGGGGTGCGTGAAAAATAAAGTTATTATTACTGAAATATTTTTTTCGGGATAGCCTAATTCGAGCTCATTGTCATAAATTCAATCGAATCGTCCGGTATCATTGCAACGGGTCGTGAACGAGGGAACCTCTCACAGGTCAATTCTGTGACTCTAATAGGCACGAACAGAACATTGAATTGGAAGATTGCACCCGTGGGCCGGGACCCTACCTTATGCCTACTTTGGGGTTATGTTAGGCCATGAAAGGTCACCAGAAGATTTTCGACAATAACGTTTGACAGAAACATGCTCCTACATGAAGTGATAAAAACGCCCCCGCGCCTGGCCGGGGGTGTTTGAACACTCCTTGCGGTTTTTCGCAGATATCTCAGAAACAGCGGCGCCATACAATATCATGCAAAGGTCAAGGTCAAGGTCAAGGTCAGGTCAGGTCACCAAAAACAAAATATAGAAAAGGGCATGTGCAACACATGCCTTGTAGGTCATTTTATTTATAGAATTCAATAGGCACACTCAATAAGTGATATGGACCACATCTGGATGAATTTTAGGTCGAGGTCAGGTCAAGATCAGGTCAGGTGAGGTCAAATTTCGAAGTTGGTTGTTAAGACCTAAAAGGTGTCTGTCTGATGCAGTTTTTCACGGCGAATCGAATGGTGCTATTTTGTTTCCGTACGAGCTCTGGAACTTCCAAAAAATCCATTTTCAAATATTTTGTGTGTCGTGACGTCATAAAATTTTGAATAACTCCCACATCTTTGAACTGATTCTTTTACAAATTGCTATGTAGGTGCACATAGACCACTTCTCTGACATTTATTCCGGTTTTTACGATACACTCAAAATTTTGGATTTTATAATTATTTTCCCAAAAAAGTCAGTTTTTTAAGAAGAAAAAATTGGGCCAAAATCCAAAATTTTTAAAAACCGAGATTGCCATTTCATAGACAAAGTAGAATCACGTATAACCTTTTTTGTTACGTCTTGATTCCATTAAAAATGAAGATGTTAGCGGCGTTTGAAATTTTGCCGTTTTTGAGGCGAAAATGGCGGACATGACGTCACTTACGTCATTTTCTCAAATAATTCCGACGGATGTCGCTCAAATTATCAGGAAATGTGTTAAATTGATGTATGATAAAGTGCTGAAAGTTTGGCGTCGCTGGCGTGACGCGTTTAGAAGTTATTGGCGAAAAACGGGAGGAAGCAGATTCTGCCCCCCTCCCCCCCCCCCTGCAGCGGGGCGCGGGTTAATCTCATCACTCTCTTGAGTCAAAAGTTAGTGCAGTAAAACATTTTTCATAAAAACGGCTATTTTCTAGTTTTGCCCTCTGCAGGCTAAACCGTTGACCTGAGGTCAAACCCGAGGACATGTTGCCAAAGGTGAAAGAGCGTCGAAATAACTATCGAATGCGCTTTTCCGCGGCGCGCTATCGGTTCCCGAGTTATGCGCCGGGTTTTCGAAAAGTGTTGAAATAGGCAATATTTGACCTTTGATGACCTCTGGCGTCGACGATCTGACTTGACCCAACCTAAGAATTGACCGAAGTGTTTTCTTCATTAATTTTTACGCTCCTTCGAACGCCGCTTACCGCGTGCCGCTACGTGGCCCAGGAGCTGAGTAGGACGGGGAGGGTTCAGATACCCCTCCTCCGGACCGGCGCGGTTGACCGGTCTGGCACGCACCGGCGAGCACCGGTCTGGCACGGCTTAAATGTATCTATACATAGGTACAGCTCAACAACACAGATCAACTGATAGGTATGCAGCATCGACTTGTCTGGTTAGTTCGTGACCTTGACCTTAAGTCATCTTTTCAAATTAATTTTTTCCTATTACAAATCAAGTCCAATTACAAATCATTCGAGTCGAGACGTCTTGACGAAAGAAACAGGATGCTGGTAAATGTACGTAAAACAAACGAAAACATAGAACTTTTAGTGGTCTCTCGACTGGTTGCTAGACCCTCACACGGTTTTCCTCTCCCTTCCCGCCATCTGTGTCCACTGTCCCTGCGCCGCCGAACAGCTGGTCTCCAAATACCAGCACGATCTGAAAGCCGGGCCCGTCGGTTGGGCGCCACGAAACGGCTGCAGCGGTAGCTGCCTTCAGCCTGCTGCGGATGATGTAGCCGGCAAGTCAAGGAGCCCGCCCCAACTGTCGGCTAGTGGCCCATGGTAGACTGGTGGTCAGGCGTCGCAGTCTCCGATGCTCGGTCTCGAGATAATGGTGTTGGATTCCCGATTCCACTGATGCCTGACGCATTAGCCAGCGCTGTATGGTGCTAAACGCGTCGTTAACAGATTCTAATTATGGGAAAATGTTGGCGTGAGTGATGTACATTCATTTTCGTTATGATGTGCTCCTGGTATTTAGGCGGTGTCGTACTTCTATTTATAACTGCAATTGTATTTAAAATATTGAACATGGTTACCGTAGCGGCGAAGCCACCGACAATAGCTTTAAAGGGACCCTCCCACCTTCAAAAAGTTAATGCATTGGCATGAAAGTGATGTCGCTCGGTTCAGAAAGAGCAAAAACGAATATCTACCAAATTTCATCGAAAAATATTCACCGGTTTTCAAGATATTAGACTTTTACTTTTGTTTACTTTTTGGGATCTCCGCTGTTCCTAGCGACTTTATTTGAAAGTGCGGTATTTGTTGCGCGCAAAGCAGCATATACCACCGCGTGCTACAAAACGTTTTAGTCAAACATTTAACGGACGTTCGAAAGCCTGATGACGTCATCAGATTCCCGTAATGGTTAAGAGATAGGGACCACGCTGGTCCCACCCTGCAAGTAAAGGGAAGAAATTTCTTGAACACCATAAAGCTGCGGGGGTTGCGACCAGGATAAATGGTGGTTTCTGAGCCTGGCCGCAAACTTGGCTATCTCAACTCAAAACTAATGTTAAGGTGGGAGGGTCCCTTTAAACCGCGCCGTGCTGGTGGCCTGAACTTTCCGCCGAGCGCTGGGGTGGGGGTGGGGGCGTTTTCACGCTCCCCCTCGTCTAACTCGGCTCCTGGGCCACGTAGCGACACGCGGTAAGCGGCAATCGAAAGAGCGTCAAAATTAAGGAGGAAAACCTTTCGGTCATTTTTAACCCTCGCCGGCCGAGGGGGGGGGCGGGTGCCGCCCCCCCCCCCATAGGGTTTTTTCGCGATAGCTCCGAACGCGCTGGCGATAGAGAGCTGAAACTTGGCATACCTGACCTTTGATTCAAGCCGGATCTTCTGACACCAACCGCATTTTCGGGTCAGGTCAGGTCACTGACCTATGACGTCATAAGTGAACCTCTGCACGGTCTTCAGATGTCGCAACTTCGCAACGCCCTCACTGCCAGAGGAGATGTCACAGGGAAATGGAACTTGCAGGATCTGGTATCCATTATGAGTTTCACAACTTGTATATCTCGGATTTTTCCTTAAGGTCATATGAGGTCAGGTCATTTTCGTGACCTCACCATTATAAGTCAATGGGGAAAAATGAATACTGCTATTCTGGCGCTGGGAACGATCTCTTACTATCTCAAGTACACAGAATCGTGATTTGATGCACTCCTTGCAAGGTTAGATGCGCCACTTTTGCAATGTCGACCTTGCGTGACGTCATTTATGACGTCATCAAGGTCATATTAGTTTTTCGTCAATAACTCTTGATCAAATTGAGCTAGCCAGTCGGGGAAGCCACCAATGGACTCAGGAAGACCTGCCGAATCGAATGATATGCGACATGACCTCTTTCGACCAACTTCGTGACCTTAGGGTGCTGACCTGACCTTGACCTGAGGTCAACACCCCAAGTTGACCTGACCCGAACAAAAAGTATATCATTCGACGCGCCTGAGCGAGGCGAACACGATGCTGCCAAAATCGGCGCTCTGCGGCCGTTTTT